GAGCCCGTACAGGACAGAGACCTGGTCCGCAGCTCGGACCCCGCGCCCCGACGGCGGGCAGAGCCCAGCAGGGAGATCCGCAACATCATCCGCATGTACCAGAGCCGCCCGGGTCCTGTTCCTGTGCCAGTGCAGCCATCCAGGTGGGTCCCGGGGGTGACCAGGGCTGCCCACTCCCCAGGGAGTCACCCTGTGGACTCGTGACCTCTTACTTCTCTCAGGAGGCCCCCAACGTCTTTCATGAAGAAAAACAACCCCAAGGATGAGGCTCTGGCTAAGTTGGGGATCAGTGGTGCCCACACATCCACATCGGTGAGGCCCTATCCTGTCCAGGGCATGGCTTCTCACCTTGGGAGTCCAAGGCTCTCTGGGGTAAATTTAGCCTCATCCCTAGAGCCAGCTGAGCAAATTCTCTGTGCCTTCTCCAGGTGCTGTCCCCCAGCCCAAAGAAGGGCCCCCCGCCACCTGTGGCCCCTCGACCCAAGGTCCCAACACAGCTTGGGCCCTCCAACTCCATCAAGGAGGACCAGGGTCTGTTTGGCCAGACTCCACCCACTGCCCATGCACCACCACCTCCTCCAGCGCCCCCACTGCCTGGGGAACCAGGGACCCTTTCAGCGGAGCCCCGTGGTGAGGAACCTCTTGTCCCTTGGTGGTGGGCTTCGTTGAGACGGCTGGGTTCCGAGCGGCCTGTCAGCACTCACGGCTGAGGTCGGCCGCTCGGGGTGCTCAGGCTTTGGGACTTTGGAGCCCCAGCTTCCTCATTCCCGTCCAGGGCGGGGCCCGGGCACTCCTGGCGCCCGTGTGGCCCTGAGGGACTGTCACAGGGTGGTGTCCTCAGTACAAACCTGGCCGCTCCATCAGGAATTTAGTGGCCCTGATGACCTGGTGAAGGACAGCAGGGAAGATGAGGGCTGGAGACGGAGGCAGGAAATGGGACATGGGCAGGATGGAGGCAGCAGAGGTCGAGTGGGCAGAGCCCTCGCAGGGCCCCAGGGAGGTGAGGGTCTTCTGTCCCCATATCCCTGCCATTCTGGCTCTCGCCTGAAGCTCTCTGGCCCTTCCCTCTGCCAGGCTTGATGGAGCCCATGGGGGACCAGGGGGTCTCCACCCAGCTGCTCGTGCCCTCTGGCAGCGTGTGTTTCTCCTACGTCGGTGCGCCCTGGAGGCTGTTCCTACGCAAGGAGGTGGGCGTGGGGGGTGGGGGGGCTGGCCGCCGCGGAGGGGTGGCAGGTGGTGGGCGGGGGCCCAGCGTCTCCCCCCACACGAACACTGGGGCTGCCTCCCCACAACCCACCTCCTCAGGCCTGGTTTTCCTTCTGGGTCTGAGAGGAAGTGGGGGGCCAAAGAGGGGCACCGTTGCCAACTCTTTTCCATCCCCGTGCTCTCCGACAGGTGTTCTACCCCCGGGAAAACTTCAGCCATCCCTACTGCCTCCGGCTCCTCTGTGAGCAGGTGAGGGCCCGGGCCACCTGCAACATGGACAGACAGACTGCTCCTGCGTCTGGGCCAGGTTACCGTCAGTGCAAGAGGCAGGAGAGCAGCAGTACTAATGGGGCAGGTGCTGTGTTTCGAGCCCTGCCTTTATTTAACATCCCTAAGAGTAAGGACCACTACTGGCCTGTAAGGAGGATGCAAAATCAAGCGTATATAGTCCCCAACATGGGCTCCGGCACCCGGCAGACGCTCCCCAATGCTTCTTTGCCACCGCTGAGTGCTCCCAGGACCCTAGCTCTTCCCCCAAATTCCAGAGCAGCCTCCCCCAGGTTCTGTTCCTTCAGGGGGAATTTATCTCAGGTGACTGAGGAACAGCAGCCCGCTCATGCAGGTGGCCGTGGGGAGGCGAGTGGGAGCTCCAGGTGGAGGTGGCCCTGGGCTCAGAAGTCCCACGTCCCTCCCTGCTCCACCCATGCCCACGGGGCTCTTTAGCTTTTCCTCCGCATGTGGCTGCTTCCATGGTGAGCTCTGGCTTTGGGATCTGGTGGTGACCACTTGGCTCTGCTCCCCAGATCCTGAGGGACACCTTTGCCGAGTCCTGCATCCGGATCTCCCAGGATGAGCGGCACAAAATGAGAGAGCTACTGGGTAGGGTCCAGGGACCCTGGAGTTGGGGAGCTGAAGAGCTGGCGGGGGGGGAGGGAGAAAACTCTGGGGTCCCCCTGTGAAGGAGCCTGAGGACAGTCTGGGGCCGTTCCTGCCCACAGGAGACCTGGAGGTGGGCCTAGATTCACTCAGTACCACCGAGGACAACATCAAGAAGCGCATCGTGGTGGCCGCTCGGGACAACTGGGCCAATTATTTCTCCCGAATCTTCCCTGTCTCGGTCAGTGAGGCTGAACGTAGGGCTGGGGATGGCAGTACCACAATCTGGCTCCTAGCGTGGCCTGCGTGGGCCTTTGTGGCAGGGATGAGAGCTGGGGGTGGGGTGGGCACAATGGAAGGACCCCCCCCGGGGGCATCTTGGATGGCGGTGGGGAACCGGGAGCCTGTCTGTCACCTTCCTTCCGGGCAGGGTGAGAGTAGTAATGACGTGCAGCTGCTGGGCGTGTCCCACCGGGGGCTGAGGCTGCTCAAGGTGACCCAAGGCCCCAGCGTCCACCTCAACCAGCTGAAGACTCTCTGCTCATACAGGTGAACCTGGGCTGGGGGCGGGGCTGGGGATGGCCCCCGGGGTGAGAGGGCTCCCAGCTCATGCCTCCACCTGTGCACAGCTTTGCTGAGGTGCTGGGCGTGGAGTGCCTGGGCAGCTCCACTCTGGAGCTGTCACTAAAGGCTGAGCAGCTGGTGTTGCACACGGCCCGGGCAGGTGCCATCAAGGCCACGATTGAGCTGTTCCTGAGTGAGCTCAAGAAGGCAAGCGCAAGCTGGGCAGGGGGCTGGGTGGGGGCAGGGGCTGGTCAGCGGAGCTCCCTCAAGCCACCAGGGGTCCTCGGAACTCTGGAGTGCCGGGTGGCGGGCGAGGCCAACAGGGGGAGCAGGTGAGGCGGGCAGGACCGGGGCTACAGGCAGCCTGGCTCCCTTACCTGCCCGCCCTCTTGCCTGCAGGACTCTGGCTATGTCA